AAGGCGTTTGTCAAAACTGAACATCCATTCATGATAAAAATCACTCAATATCCCTGGCTGGTGTGGCTCAGTGGACTGAGTGCTGGCCTGGGAACCAAATGATCGCTCGCCAGTTCGTTTCCCGCTTGGACACATGACTGGCTCCGTGGGCCAGGTCCCCAGTTGGGAGCATGTGAAAGGATTTATCTCTCACATAATGACGTTTCTCTTCCTCTTTCTCCCCCCTTCCCTTCTCTCTGAAAATAAATTTTAAAAAATGTCTTTAAGTGATTAGTATATTTAAAAACATAAATTAAGAGAACTTGCTTAACCTCATAAAACAGTATTCAAACAACACTGTGTCCCTAAGAACTGTTTGCAAAGACGACAGGAAAGCAGACACTATGACTCCTAGACCGACGGCTTTGGGAGTGAAAATCAGGAACATCGTTTAGATCAGTGTCACTACGTCAGCTTGTCTGCACCGATAGAACTGGCTTCCTTCTACTGATGTAATTGTCCCTTTCCCTTTCTTGTAAATACCCTTTAGCTTTGTCTCCTAATCAAAGCAGTTTTTACGTTTCTGCCTGAATCAGTGTTTTCTCGATAGCTAATCTGTTTTGATCACAAATAAATGCTTACTGCCTCGCAAACCCCCCTCCCCAAAAAACCCAAATTAAAAAAAAACAACTTCAAAACCTGAAGCAACCCATTCTTGTTACTGATGTTGCAACAAGATGAAATAGAAAAACACGCTGAGAAGGGGAGTCATAAAGGACCACGTGCTGTTGGATTCCACTGACATGACATGTGTAGTAAGGTAAACATACAGACAGAAATATACCCATGGTTGCCCAGGGCTAAAGGGCGTTGGGGAAATGAAGCATGAATGCTAATGGGTATTTTGGGGGGTGAGAAATATATTCTAACACTGACCATGGTGATGGCTGCACAACTCTGAATATACTAAAAACTACTGAGATGTATACTTTAGATCGGGGAATCGTATAGTATGTGAATTGTATCCAAATAAAGCTGTTCTATGTGAAACAGTGAATAACTTTATGCAAATAACTAAGTTGCTTGTATATATGAACCTTTAGATCATAACTTCCTAAAAAAGCAAAGGTTGTTTTTAGTTTAAGTATGCATTTTGGTAACACATTGGGCAAAACCAAAATGCTAACACATGTACCACGACACACAGAAGGCACTCAAATGTTTGTAGTCAACAATCATAAAATTAAACCTAATGATACTTTACGGACTGTTCCCCTTGATCAAAATGGGCAACAGTCTTCACTTTGTTCCTGTTTTAAAAATTCAACTTCGAATTTTTACCTGATAAGACTGAAATCAAGTCTGGCCATGTCAGCATTATCTTCCGGGGTGTTACGGGCCAAGATTCCTAATGTAACAAAGTTAAAATATCAGTTCAAAAAACAAGTCAGAAGAAGGTACTTCTTTCCACTGTAGCCCCATCCGTCAAGTTGAAGTCTTTCACGTAGCCTAATTAGGAATACCAAACACGTAGCTAAAAATAAGATTAGCAGGCATATTCCAAACCTTTTTTTAAAATCAGTTTCTGATTCCCTTTTTCCTAATAAAATGTGAAAGAAATTTTCCCATAACTGTTGCCAGTTCCATTAGGCAATGTGCTCCCATAAGTGAATAATTTACCTAATTCTTAGCCTTACAGTCTTTTATTTTGCCAAATTTTATTATAACTTGTAAGTTAGCAATATACTTATTTTCCACCATTTTTGATTGCTATGCAATTTGTTGTCTCAGATGAATGAACAAAGTAGAGCACTTTGAAAAAGAATTCTTTTGAAAGTCAATTATATGATCATGCTGTATGCCAAGTTGGAATCATGATAAAATCTTTTCAAACATAAAATCTAAACATTCTTATTAACTCCAGCAGGAGCCATCACTCTAAGTTAATTCTCAGGTCAGTGCTAATATCAAGCAGACAAAAGCAACCTGAATCCACTGCATATAAAGCAAGTTCTAAAGTTAAACAAAGTTCTAACATTTTATGAACTTTGGCAGCAAATGTGACAAAAATCTATATAATCTCAGTTTTTTCTTTTTTGAGATTATGGGCTGCTTTTTTCCTTGTTTATTCTAAAAAGTAATCAACTACAATATTCCTGAGAACTACTAATTATTTGAAATGGAAGGTACCAACCACTTACCGCCATGCACCGCAGGATGTAAGGTTTTCACACGCCCCCCTAACATTTCAGGAAACCCTGTCAGCTCAGAGACATCTCTGAAAAGAGGAACAGAACATTGCTACTTTTCTGCTTATAAAAACATTAGAGGAAACACTTCAACACATTGAACAGAATCACCCTTTTTACTACCTTCCCTAATATTTTTCACCTTTTTAAAATTTTCTACAACAAACATGTATTGCTTTTATTGTAAAAAAAATAACAAACATTTTGCAAACTCCATTTGACCCAACGGCTTGCAGTTGCAATGTAAATGGGCAAACTGGTGACATTAAGGTTTCCAGTTCCAAATTCTCTTCCCTGGAATTTATAAAACAAAATCCAGTTTCTCCAACTGAGGAGAATGACTGAAAAGAGAAATGGCAGATCTATACTTAGAATTAACCACCAACTGAAGTATGTAAAAGGCTTACTGCTCCTTTATCTTTAAAAATTTGCCTGTAACAGCTGCCCTCTTCACAACAGAATGCTCACTGATACATACTCACCAATTAAAATCTCATCAGTTTATCTCGAATGTCAAGGTTAATTTCCCAGCCTAAAATCTTGGCTCCTTGTTTTATAGCTGTTAGTTGTGTGATCTTGGGCTACTGGCTTCTTTGTGCCTCAATTTCCTTACTTATTAAATGGGATAATACTACCTATAACAGAGGTGGCAAACACAAGGCCCATGGGCCGAATCTGACCCTGTACCTTATTTTATCCATCCCGGCACCTTGTGTCCACCCAGCGGTAGTGCGGAGCTCCTTGCCCTAGTTGAGGAGCAGTTACATTTATACAGTCCTAAAATTACATTTGGCCCTTTGAAAGCCACCATGAGGCTGATGTGGCCCCTGGTGAAAATGAATTTGACACCCCCAATACAACAAGTTGGGGTAAAGATTCCATGAGTTAATACACCTATATTTAAAAGTGTGAACAACCTCCCTTTAATGGAAAACACATTTGTGTTCCCAAACTTTAAAAAAAGGCATTGTCATAACGAGACTAAGTGAGGGGTGGGGAGATGGAACAAAATCAAAGAGCTGATAAACACTTAAACTGACATGAACAGACATGCAACATGAGAGCTTATTATACTTTTCTCTCTCCTGTTATGTCTGAGATGTTTCCATGGTACAAAGTTTGGGGGGGGAAGAGGCTACAGAAGAGGATCTTAATTTGAAGGGTCCGACTATAAAACAACCCACCACGGGGCAACGGAGAACACAGTTCTTCAGTGTCCGTCCGCCCTGCCTTCCACGATCTCTACAGCGTTGTTATAAAGCACATCAGACAGGTGCTGCAAAAAGACTTTGCATTTATTTATACTGTAAGGCATTCCCGCCAATGAACTTATCAAACTGGGGGAAGCTGTGCACTGCTCTCACAGGAGGGGCAGGCTTAACGGAGGAAAAGGGTAACACTCGATCTCCACATGGATCTGGAGGGCATGTAGTAAAATCTGCCACATGACAACAAAAGCAGAGAGGTCTTTCACTCCTTTTCTAAAGTATATTTCGGGGATGGAGACGCCCTTCCTCTGAATTATCACTTCAGTGTATTACAGTTATCCTTCGGCCTTTTTCATACTCTGCATTTTTGGTGGTTACTCTGTCCCCCACCAGAATGCCAGCTCTTTGATGTCAAGAATTGAAGCCTGATTTATGTTTTGCTCACTCCTTCTCCCCATCACTTAAGCCAGGTAATGAACAGCATGCAGATGAAAGAATGAATGATAAATCTGTGACTTCCTATGGCGACCAGGGATGCTAAGGGAAAAGAGGCAGACCTGAATCTTAATGTCAAGTTTTATCAAAGAGCCAGTCAAAACAGACCATGTGAGTCATAAACTAAGTTTATGTTGCAAAAAACCCTAACCCACCTAAATTAATTTGTTAGGAGTGGTTTGGAAGGGGGGCTCTTAAATGAGGATACCCGGGGTCCTAACCCCTAGCTGCACTCCTTTAACTCTGTAAACTTGAGCAGAAGTTATTAAATGTCTCTGAGCCTGACTTTCCTCTTTTATAAGCAGAGTAGCAACCTCACAGCACCGCCGGCGGCAGTAAATACGGTGTTTTACTCCCAGTTCCTGCACGTTACCTTCTGGTTAACGTGATCCTACTACCTTCCCATGAGTGTTTCACTTAAACACGACGTTGTGCCTTACCTGACTGCCAGACCAGCATCCCTGAGAGCTTTTGCAGTCCCTCCAGAAGCGATCAGATTCAAACCAACAGAAGTTAGGTTTCTGGCAAATTCCACAAGGCCGGTTTTGTCAGACACACTAAACAAGGCTGAAAGAGAAGGCATTTTTCCTTCTCAGTCGCTGTACATGACAGTACGTTCTTCAAGGCCTGATGTGTGCGGGGGTGTGTTTTGGGGAGCACAGTCAAGGATCCCAAGCCACCATCACTTCCGCCCACACTATATCCAGTCCCAAACCCCGGGCGCTACTACTGACCCCAGGCAGCCGCACTATAGCGGGTCGGGGCCTGCAGGCCTGCAACGCACCGGCCCCTCCACCCCTGGCGCGCTCAGCGGCCGCCACAGCCGGGAGAGGAGGCGGGCAGGAGGGGCACCAGCGGCAGAGGCGCGGCTCCGCGAGGAGCGCGAGGAGCTCACCGAGCTGGCCGGGCGCCATGGGGTGCGTGCGGCGGGTCCGGGACGAGCGGGGACAGCAGTGCACACGCCACGTGCAGGAGAAAGCGCAACGTCCAAAGCAGATCGCGATCCGGAAGCCAGGCCCGGGTGGATCACGTGACCCTGCCCGCCTTACCCCAGAGCCCCGCCCCCGCTCAGTTTTGGACACGAATTTGGAGCCTCCGGGCTGGAAGGGTAAGAGGCGTGGGGCCCCAGCCGACCTTCCTGCGCCCGGAATGTAAACTCAAAGGACTCCCGCCCCAATCTCACACCGCGGGCCTGACTTATCCCGGTGCCCCAGAATGTGGCTGCCCCAGAGCCTCACTGAATCGCCTGTTGCCCAGGGCAGCTTGTCCCCAAAGGCTGGAGTGCAGGTGAGAGTATCGAAGTCTTTGAGAAACACAAGGAAAAGTTCGTAGTTCATAGAGCGGCGAAGGTAGACAGCATCTTGGCGGTCACCTACCATCCTCCCGTTACAATGAAGCTAAAAATATAAAAGGAAGATCTGAAGATTAAAAATTCGGTGATTGACTTCACAGTTTACATGGTAGACGCAAAACGAAGTCAGCATCAAAGTTCTCTAAGTGTAAAATAAACACCGCAAAGACTCTGAACTGAAATAACAAAAAAATAAAATGTTTCTAATAATTTTAATGAATTACAAGTTGTAGTGACAATACATAAATAAAAATATATTATCGAAATTTTACTTTTAAACTTTTTAATATTAATATTAGAAAACTTAAAATTACATATGTGGTTCTTATTATATTTCTACTTGACAGCGCTGATCTCAACAGAATCCAAGAATAATTACATCAATTGACAACTGAGGTAAGGTACAGAATACCTTAAAATGCTTTACACTTGATACTTTCTGAATGCTGTTTATATAGCAAGATTCAAGTATAAATTCCAAATTTTAGAAATTATCTAAAATTAGACATGTGGTATATTTGATTTTGCCAGAATTCTTACAAGTTCCAGAGGCTTAGGGTGGATCTGACAGAATGTGGTTTACATGAATTCATGGTTTTGGTCCCTGACCTTGCAGAGCTAGTCTTCATATCTTTCTCTTGTTTCTAAGATACTGGCTAATACACAAGGACAAATGATACTGTATAGACTCAGTTCTCAGACAAGAAATGTAAGTTCTGACTCTAAAATCCTTGATTTTGAGTTGTATGATATGGTACATTTTTAACAGCAGGTAAAGTAAAATTAATACTTGATTTTTAAATATAATGATCATTTTTTTGCCCTGGCTAGTGTGACTCAGTTGGTTGGAGCACCACCCCATAATTGAAAGGTTGCGGGTTCAACTCCTGGTCAGGGTGCTTGCCTAGGTTGCTGGTTCAATCCCTGCTTCCAGCACAGGTGATCCTAGGTCCTGCCTGATGTTTACATTCTGAGGTCCACTGCACACGGAGGGCGATCTATCCATGCTTCTCTCTCATACGGACGTTTTTCTCTCTGTCCCTCTCTCTAAAAAGCAATGAAAAAATGTCCTCGGGTGAGGATAAAAAAATAAATAAAAATAAAATATAATTATCATGTTCAAAAAACAGAAATAGAACACAGCCCGATACTCTCCTTACGTTCTTATGGAGGACTCTGAGGAAGTGGGTGAACTCTGCTTTTCCCGTCCTGCTCAACAGCAGAAAAGTGACCGCCTTAGGAAAGTGTTGTTTTGTTTCAGGGCTGCTTGCCAGTGTGTCGTTTTTTAAATTTAGAAATAAAACAGTTGCATATGCACATAGCTTTTAAAGTATACATGTTGGCCTAATACCTGGAAATTGTCATATTTTAGGGTTTCCATAAAAATCTTATCTGAATTAATTTTTAAAGGAAATAATTTATATGGATTTATATTTATTTGTATAACTTCTTTCAACAGCATATGTTGTACCGACGTCTAGCAATGCGTAATGCTCATTACAAATGGATAGCCATGGCAATGTCTCTGTGGCATTATAAATATGTAGCTAACAACTATGTATCACTACATACTGCATGCTGTTCTCTATGCTTCATAAAGATGAGCTCATTAAATCAGGTGTACTTTCTCAGGATTTCTTCATAAAAAATCAAATCTTTCATATTACTGTATTTTCAGAACTTGAAGTCAATAGCTTGTGTTTGGAGAGAAAAAGGCCTATGTACAAGACTGAAATGAAACCTTCATTCTGATACGAGGAAGAGTTCCATATAAAAATCAATAGCAAAAAAAAAATTTGATTGCTTGGAACAATAAGAGCATAATCAAACAAGTCAGTGTTTTTCTTGGAGCAAAAAATGTGTAGCTCTCCAAGAAGAGAAGAAAAGAGTCCGTATGCTCAGTTAGCACATGGGACACAATTGTCATCTGTCATACGTCTCCTCCACCCCCCAATCCCCCACCAAATTCTAGTTTAGGATTATGATTAAATATCAGACCCAAGAGACAACATGCTGCATGAATTTGCATGACAAAAAATTTCCAAGCAGCAGAATTATTTCAGAAAGGCATAAGTATAATTTATTATCACTTCTCTGTCATTAAATGTTAAGGGATGGTGACTACAGATAAATATAATTTTGAAGTTTAAGTTTTGTGGAACCCAAATCATAATCTATTTGGGTTCTTTGGTGCTGGGTTTTCAATAGGCATTTAAGAATGTCTCCTTTATTTGTTTTGTTGTTGTTGTTTTGTTTTGGAAGTACCATTGATTCAGCATGGATATAATAGCAAGAGAGTACAGGGCAAGGACAGGTCCTTGAAATAACGTAATAAAAAGTAACCATGATTTTTGTTCCCAAGAACTTTTAACTCGCCTAAAAGTAAAAGGTCTCTAGAAAAGGCTATGTTTAAATAAAAGTATTAGCTTTTATTTTTAACGATAAAACAAACTAGAAAGGGGTTGGAGGATCTCCGTGTACCAGAACATAAATGTGAGTGAACCAAGTGCTCAGGGCACAAATCATTTATAGGCTTGTTTCTCCCCATCCAAAATTCATGCTTGCTAAGGTATGAAGGAGAAGGGACAGAAATGATTAAACGGAGGGCGCTCAGGACACTTAAGCTTAATAAAGGCAGGGAAATGGAGACGTTCAAGGAAGTGCAATTGCAGAGTACTTAAGCCATTTTCTACTTCGATTATTCTCTATAAATATTCTTTATGCAATGGGTTCATGCTGTTGTCCTGCACAAAACATTAAGCATATCAAAGAGTAAGGAAAGCAAAGATGATTAATTTCTGGACAGTGCTCCCAGAAGATGCCACCACTAGGGAGCAGCAGAGGTTGTTCCTTGGGTCATGAACATCAACTAAGAATTTCAAGCACCCCGGCTGGTGTAGCTCAGTGGATTGAGCACGGGCCTGCGAACCAGACAATCGCGGTTCGATTCCCAGTCAGGGCACATGCCTGGGTTGCAGACCAGTTCCTTGCAGACCAGTTCCCAGCAGGGGACGCATGAAAGGCAACCATACATTGATGTTTCTCTCCCTCTCTCCTTCCCTTCCCCTCTAAAGATAAATAAATAAAATCTTAAAAAAAAAAAAAAGAATTTCAAGCAAAGATAGCCTACTTCATTTGTAGATATCCAGCTACTACGCTTTCCAGGTAATGAATTGCTCTTACCACTTATTTTCATTACAATGCAATGACGGAAATTGCATTCTTATTCCCATTTTCCAGATGCAGAATGTGAAGACCTGGAGAAACTTCAGGTGCTAAGGAGTAGTAAAGTTGAAATTGCATATTCCCTTAGAAATTCCCTTAGGGAAATTGCATTTTCCCTAAAGTCTGCGCTCAGTTTAATGGGTATTAAGAGAGCTAAAAATAAAAGACCTTCTTCAAGGAGCACGAATTTCTGCTAAAAGCAATCACTGAATTTTTCAATTCTAAGTTATACTATTGGTTTTATATCAACATTTTTATTGTTGAGTAGGAGAGGTATAACACTCTATATTAAAAGTTGCATTCCAGTTCTGGTTGGTGTATCTCAGTGGATTGAGCACAGGCTGTGAATCAAACGGTTGCTGGTTCAATTCCTGGTTGGGGCACATGCCTGGGTTTCAGGCTGGGTCCCCAGTGGGGGCCATGTGAGAGGCAACCACACACTGGTGTTTCTCTCCCTCTCTTTCTCCCTTCCTTTTCCTCTCTCTAAAAATAAATAAATAAAAGGTTTTTTAAAAGTTGCATTCCAATTTAAGAAAATGAAAACATAAAAAAAGAAAGTATGTTGTAAACTTCAGGAAATATTGTATATAAATAACTCAAGTTTACACATGGGTGTGCATCCATATTTATGTTTGTGTGTGTTGGTAATCTTTATTATTTTTTAATTATTTATTTTTATTGATTATGCCATTACAGTTGTTCTATTCCCCCCTTCATTCCCCTCCACCCTACCCCCCATCCCCATCATTACCCCCCTTTAGTTTATGACCATGTGTCTCAAGTTCTTTAGATTCTATATTTCCCATACTATTCTTGCCCCCCCCATCTATTTTCTATCTACTGTCTATGCTTCTTATTTTCTGTACCTTCTCCCCCTTCTCCTCCTCCCACTCCCCTGTTGCTAACCCTCCTTGAGATCTTCATTTCTATGTTTCCACTCCTGATCTAGCTGTCCTTTTAGTTTGCTTTTGTTTTAGGTGTGGTTGTTAATAACTGTGAGTTTGCTGTCCTTTCACTGTTCATATTTTTTTAACTTCTTTTTCTTAGATAAGTCCCTTTAGCATCTCATATAATAAGGGCTTGGTTTGATGAACTCCTTAAATTTGATCTTATCTGAGAAGCACTTTTATCTGTCCTTCCATTCTAAATGAAAGTTTTGCTGGGTAGAGCAATCTTGGTTGTAGGTCTTTGGATTTCATGATTTGGAATACCTCTTTCCAGCCCCTTCTTGCCTGTAAGGTCTCTTTTGAGAAATCTGCTGACAGTCTGATGGGGACTCCTTTGTAGGTGACTGTCCCCTTACCTCTTGCTGCTTTTAGGATTCTCTCCTTCATTTTAATCTTGGCTAATGTAATTATGGTGTGCCTTGGTGTGTTTCTTCTTGGGTCCAACTTCTTTGGGACTCTCTGAGCTTCCTGGATTTCCTGGAAGTCTATTTCCTTTGCCAGATTGGGGAAATTCTCCTTTATTATTTGTTCAAATAAGTTTTCCACTGGTGGCTGTTCCTTTCCCCCTTCTGGTACCCCTATAATTCAGATGTTGGAACGTTTAAAGATGTCCTGGAGGTTCCTAAGCCTCGCCTCATTTTTTTGAATTCTTGCTTCTTGACTCTTTTCTGTTTAGCCATTATTTGCTTTCTTCTGGTCCACTCCATGACCCAGTTTTCTTTTCATCGCTATTGATTTCCTGTGTAATTCCATTCATTTCAATTAGTTTCGCCTTCATATGTATATCTAATTTGTGGCTATAATCAACCAGTTCTGTGAAAATCCTGATCACCAGTGTTTTAAACTGTGCGTCTGAGAGTTTTGCTATTTCTTCATCGCTTAGATTTATAGGCTTTGGGGCTTTGAGATCTTCTTGAGCCATTTTTGTTCTGTTCACGCCTGTTAAGTACGAGGACCGGAGCCTTGGACTCCCAGGTCGCTGGGTTGTGACGCTGCATGTGGGGGCGTGGTCAGAGCGGGGAAATGGTGGCGCCCTCTGCTGCTGCTTGCCACTGGGGCCTGCTGGGTCCCGTCCAATAGCCCACTCCCTCGCTTGTCTGTCCACGCACAGATGCGAGACCACAGTCAACCCTCAGCCCTGCTCCCTCGCTGTTTCCCCTCAGTCGCTCGCTGAGTTGCCCACCAGGTCCAACCCTGCACCTGGATTCCGCGCCCGAGTCCATC